TCGGACACACTGTGTGTACAAAGCCCACTCTGAGTCGAACAAAAGTGAGATTTGGTTTTTCTTCGAAGGTCAAAGTAAATGCAAACGAGAGTAATAAAATGGCTTGAATCGCCTTCGGCGAATGCCAAGAAAACCACAGCACCATTTTTCCAGCACCTAATATTTCAATGAATAATTTATTTCCAATAATCAACGTCGATGCGGAAAGCACATAAACAATTCTATGAGGCAATTAAGATATGCGTAGGGACTTTTTTCCAACTGACACAAATTTGGCGCATGAAATCGTACAACAAATCACGTCACAAAGAAAGAAGAAATGAAAAAGTGAACTCAAAAATGAGCCTACATACGAGTCACTAATAGAATAATTTGTACCATCCAAAATTGTGCGTGTGAGAGAGAGTGTGAAACTTGTCCGTATGCATAGAAACAGTGTGAACGACAGGAATTTCCATCGCAAAGTGATTTTAGCATCTGTGCCGTTTTGAATTTAGAGGAAGAGAATAAGTGTGTGAGTGAGAGTGAGAGGGAGAGAGAAAGAGTATAAGTAAGGATGAAAGGAAGAATAATAAAGAAAGCAAGCGAGAGGATGCGTGTTTGAGCAATAGAAAGAGAAGCGCGAGAGAGCAACAAAAGAGCGGTCGTGACCCATTCGAAATGCTCATTATTAAACTCAATGAACCAATGGAGGCAGATTAAAATGTTAAACGTCGTCTTCCAATATGACCAGCTAGGCCGAGCAATAGAGTGAACGAGCGAGAAATGATGTGATCGTGTGTGTGTGTGTGTGTGTGTGTGTGTGTATGTATGTGTGAGGCCGTTTGGTCTCTGCCTCTTAATTGTATTGCGTATTTATCGAACTTCCTTTTATGGCAACACCAAATCCATAACCATCTATTCGATCTATAACGTTTAATTCCATTTTACGACGTTTCTATTGCGGGAATGGAATCGGAAAAAATAACAGGATTACAAATGTATATATTAGAAAATAAAAAAAGCAGCAGCAGCAGCAGCAGCAACAGAAGCAAAGTGCTTAACGACTCTTCTCTAGGCCTATCGTTTTTTTTCCTCTCTCGGATTTTGTGCCGAACCACTGCAAATATAAAACAACATCAAAAACTTGAACAATAAATTTCTTCTTCTCCTCTCCGTTCAGCTCATCTAATGACGCATACTTAATCCCTAGCTGTATACACCATTACGGTGTGTATAGTTTATCTAACAAAACGTTGGTCGTTGATGTAATCGACTTGTGTTCGGTGTATCGACGGTTAGAAGCAATTGACAATCACTAAAATGCGCATTGTCATTGCCATCAATGTCATTGTGTCGTCCGCTATTGTTGGCAATGTCGTGCAGCACAATATTTCGCAGCAAGTTTTCTTCGTCTCAATAAGATTGATGGAAAAACTTGTCATGATAAATTTCCACGTGCGCACAACACGACGGAGAAGACGGGTGAAAGAAAAAAACGAACACACAACACCAAAAGTAAAAAGGATTTGGTGAGCGCACTCTCAACATCATCCCCTAGCGAACGAAATTTCGGATTCAATGTCAATAGAATATGAGTCCGTCACCAAATTGCCGATTTTCTTTTGATTGTGTTTTTGTTGTTTTTTATCTCGCGCGTACGCGGACACAAAACGAGCACATAAATTTGTGTGTTCCCTGTGTCTTTGAGTAGAATTTATTGTGCAATAAATTTTCGAGGTAGAAAAAGAATTTTTATGTTACCAACAGCAATATTAAAGAGTAGACGATAGAAAAGGCGAAAAAAACAAGAACGAAGACGCCAAAAACCGAACCGAGAGAGAGAGAGAGAGGTCGTCTATCGTTTTGTCTAAGCCCATATAACAGCCCATTTTTCGTGGTCGCGTATTTAGGCTCGATCAATATTTCATCTTTATGATTGTGTTTTAATGCGTACATTCTATGCATAACTTCATTCCTAGTAGATTTCCATCAATTTGGTGAATCTTTATTCGTTCGGGCGCTGCCGTGCGCTTCGTGAACATTTCGCACATTTTTTTTTCGACGAATAGAAAAATGCGCTGGAGAAAAAAAAGGAAGAGACAGTGAAGCTTTATACACAGTTGGAAAATGCTTATGTTTTTTTTTCTCTTCAAAGAACGCGCTTTTATCGGATATAAATTGTAGCGCGGATTGTTGTGTGAATGGATGGTGGATGATTGACGAGTATGTTCTATTGTTTACGACTCTGCAGGATAAAGCATACACATTTTTTATGTGATTTCATTGCTTCTATTTTTTTAACTCTCCATTTTGTTGTTATCGTTTGTGATTTATTCCAATTCAAACGTTGAACAATCATACAAAACGCACCGAGCAACTGACGACGATGACAACGACATCGTCGACAATGAGTAGCACAGAAAAAAAATCGCTATTATAGTCGCCAGCAAAATTAATTTGTTGTCTACGTGCTCGGAAACGATGCCAGTGCGTTGTTGCCATCATTTTTATTTCGTTGACAATGAATTAGTTTGCTTTATTCCGATGATTTACTTATTCTTACGCTTGAATTTACGATCAAAGAAGAAAGAATGACTCAAATGATGCACGACCAAGAGACATTTAATTCACACAGGGGAACACATTTTTTCGGGCTTAATTTTAATTGTCACATTTTCATATTAATATGTGAAGTGGACGATACACAAAGGCGCTAAATAACAACTGTCCTCCTTTTATTCAGCGTGTAATCAGAGTTTATTCGGAATGCGTGTACCTTGAACTTTTGTGCACAAGAATGCAGAACGTTTTTTATTATTATTGTGAATTAAACGATTCGGAAAAAAGTTTATTTCTTGTTGATTTGCTCCAACCTGCGTAAGATGGACTATTTTTGGTGCAATTTATTGACTCGACAAACAAGTTTCTTTACGCAAACGACCATTCAGCTTAAGTGGGTCTTTTGCAAACAAATAAATTGATTATCGGTGTTGACGACATACAGCGCATATCATAAATTAATTTAACGTTTTTTTTTTCTCGGCAAAACCACAAAAATATTCCAATCGTCCTACTGTTCTTTCCTGTGTTCAGTAAAGAATTAAGCCGTTGCATAAAATTTGCTCGATTCCGTGCAACAATAAATGCGATTCGATAAATAGAACGAGGAAATAATAAAAATTTGTTATATTATTGTATTATAATTCATGGTGTGATGAAGAAAGCGCGTTTAAAACACTCTTCGCTTCATAAATTTTGAGCTCGAAAGAGAGAAAGGAAGAAGGAGAGAGAGGAAGGGAGAGATAGAAAGAACGCGATGCTCATTTGACACACCGAATCTATTGAACGTGATGCGCACACAAACCGTATTCACATGATAAAACAATAAATACGACACCAAAAACAAAACCAGAAAAAACAACGAGCGAAAAATGACGGCAGTAAGAGTAACCTTTTGAGAGATGATCAGTTGGAACAAAGCAACGATTTAATTACTGATTCACATTTTAAAATAGGATGAAATGCGGAAAAAATAATTCACATGCGCCTTGGAATTTATTAAGTGCACACAACGAGCGAATGCATGCGCCCACTTCAATTGAATTTGCTTCGGGTTTGGATGCGGTGATGAAAAGATGGTAGTGAAATTTAGAACAAACATTGGCTCATTTGTAGTTGTCGTTGATGTGCAAGCAATTGTACAAATGGTCTTTCATTGCGCTTCGCGCAAATGGCAATTGCTGTTGGCTACAAATCATCTTGTTGGCTTATTTTGTGTATGGATCAGTCTTTGGCGAGAGTGCATCTGTACTCGACCGACACACCAAAGTGTGCGATTCACTTTGGAACGACAAGACAAGATCTCGTCATTCAATTTCTCTCGCCTTCATTTGCAATTGAAACTGAAATTGTGTGTCTTGTTTTTGCTTTCCTTCGAATCGGCCGATCGAATTCAATTTTCGGCGAAGAAAAGATCGTGTTTTTAAATGGGAGAATTAGCAAATTACGGCTTGCGATGAATAAAATGAACGATCATCATCATCATCGTTGTGCCTTTTAGCATGGCTCAATCTCGTCAGAAACATCATCACGAATGCTGTTTTTTTTATTTTGGCATTATTTTGTTTTCGTCAGGATTTTGTTTACGTTACCATAAATGCGCACATCATTAAATATACCATTCGGCTCGGCCGGATTCCAAGCACCCAATTCGATGCGCGCAAAGGGAACCAAATTCAATTGCACCAATAAAAAACACACAGAGAGAGAGAGAGAAAAGTGAAGAAAAAAAGCACGGCATATCATTTGGATCGCGTTGCGTTGTTGCATTTTATTTTGCACATTTATTTCACTTAACTGCTTATTTTTCCGTTGTGAGTGCGAATTAGCATAGGTTGTTGGCTTTTTGGTTGCATTTTCTTAATGAATATTTAGTGCAGTATGCAATAAAATCGCACGCACATTTTGCCTTCTTCTTCTTCGGACTTTTTTTCTTCTTATGCATATTTAAATTGCAACGAACGACAAATAAACAATCCGTCGCAACCAATCACCAGTCGACGACGCTTGCAAAAGAGGAAAAACAACGGCACGATATTTAACACCGAATTTAAAATAATTGGGGGCCAAGCATAAGCCAATTACTTGGCGATTTGTTTGCATTTGATGGCTTGCATAAAATCGAATACACAATGACTGTGTTTACCACAAGACAATGACATTTTATCCGATCGATCGCTGAAACCGAGACACGCGTGTCAACACATAAAACTACATGTGTCAAATTATTCAAATGCGATGCACATCACAAATTTTAATGCGCTCCTGATCACTGATCAGACGAATTGTTTCGATTTGCTTTGCATTTTTAATGAAAGTAAAATTTACTGCCAATTATTGATCACGCACATCGATTCCATACATACTTTGTAGCGAATTTAAAGAATTTTTATAAGACTCTTAAGACTTTTGTACGACATTTTCTCATGTATTTTTTCCGTTCTTTTGTTACCAACCAGGCACCTGAAATCGAAGAGACGTCACTACGACCACCGTGCAAACGAGAACCGTTGGACATTCCGTTGAAAAAGGCGAAATTATTCGAAGACAAACTCATCATGGACTATCAGTATCAAGTGCTTATGGCTCAATATCAGCGTCAAAATGCGTACCATGGCTTTCGGCCGTGGACCAGTACAATCGGAGCACCACCCACAAAACATTTACCTCATTTGCCATTCACCGTGTCAACAGCGTTACCGTATCTCAGCCAAGAGCCCCCAATTCTACAAAATCCGGAACGTGTTGTTCGCATCAGCGAATGTGAACGCTATGAACAATCCTACCAACCGAATGTGGCGCTGGCGCCACGAAATGGTAGCACCAAATCATCATCCACCACCGGCATTAAAATGGATACTGAGCATGGTGAATATGAGAGCAGCGAACGAGATGCAAGAGATTGTCCATTGGCGATGGATATAAAAATCAAGGAAGAACGGCCGCAGACACCCGCTGATGAATCACATTCGCCCGAATCATGCATTACATCTGGAGCCACCAGTGTTGTTAATACAAAGAATAACATCGACTCAACGCCAAATGCTCCGCCAATCAGGTAGGTCTCACCACAAAATCAATCAAATTATTCTGAGCCATTTGAAATAAAAAAAACTCATAAAATATTCTTTGTTACTTCTGTATTTACAGTCCCGAAGGCCAATCAGCATCATCAAATGAAATCACATCATCGACATCTCCCGTACCTGCTGCTGCATCGATAACCACATTTGATAAGCTAAACGATGCGACACATTCGCCGAAAACAATAACGCCGCCAGTCAACAATCACCATCATCATCATCATCATCATATAAAACAGCTAATCGAACGATCTCACCATAAAGATATTGACAACCATCATCATCACCATCATCATCGTGCACAACAGAACGGCACATTCGACAGTCGGCTGTATTTTCATCCGTACAATCGTTACAAATTGAATGGTCTCAGTTCGGAATTTGAGCTATCAACCGATACGGACGATGATAGTTTGGTGGGTGAGGCGGACAGCAGTAATCATTCGTCACCGTTGGACATTGCAAACGAAGCACTGAAAGACGTCGATCCAAAGGATCGAGACAAAGTGTTGAACATTATCAAAATGTTGTTGCACGAAAACCTGCAGATCAGTTTGAAAAACGCGAATTTGTTGCGTGAATTGCAGCGCAAAGACGATGAAATCGCCGATATGCTGCAAGCCAATCGTCGCACAACCACCACCACCACCAGCAGCAGCAGCAACGGTAACAATTTTTTGACGAGCAGCCGCAGCGATACATCGAGCACCAATAGCAATGACGACAGCACAAAGTGTCCGAGCGAAAGTGACGAATCAAAAGCAGCTGATGAATCGCCAGTGGTGGCCGTTCGCAAAAGTAACGATGACAAAGACAAAGACAAAGACATGGATACGGCCAAAGCAGCCATTGCAAAATGTGGCGATAGTGTAACCATTCATGTGCTCGACTCGACCAAAGCCAAAGCCGATGAATCGCCATCGTCGCATGAGTACAACAATAAGCTTCAAGAATCTGCCGCGGCCACGATCATTGTAACCAAAACAGTTATCGAAGTTGGCACACCGAAAACCAACAACGATACCACCAATATTGTTGATGTGAAACCGTCACCGCCAGCAGCACCCATTACAAATGGAACGACGACGACAAACACGATTTCAAGTACAAAATTCGGTAGCGCCAAAAGTGAGACCGAAGTCATTCGGATGCCATTGAAGAAGTCAGTACGACGCACACCAACGACCGACGACACAGCACCAGTTACAGCAACGGCAGCCGCTGCAACAGTGGTTGTCATGCAGCCACATAAGCTGCGTGACGAGGCTCGCGATAAATCATGTGATAAATTAGACAAAATATCGCGAACATTTGAAAAGAATTTGCGCTCATTATCACCGCCACCAACAGCAAATTTAGTGACTGCCAAAGCTACGGAATAGACACATACTGCATCAAGAATCAATCAACATTGGTCGCGAACTAATTTCGAATCACCATCCCGCGTGTGCACGCACGACATGGTTAATTTTTAAATGCAAGAAGAAAAAAAAACATGAAATATATAAAATACATTTAGCTATACTACACACATTGTATGGAAACACTTCTGTATGAAACAGAAACCAATTCAATGACTAAAGGATTTTAGTTAGAGAGATGAAGATGAGAACGAGAGAATGACGATATCGCACGAAAATATTGACACAATTCAAAGAATGCTCTATTTATTTTCGTGTGTATTTTTCTTTCGTTTCTTTTTGGTTTATTTGAACGACAATTTCTTCTTCTTTTTTTCTATTTGCTAAATACATAAACGATGATGAAAACATTTTGCAAAGCGAATAAAAAAAATGGACATCCCACCAGATGATTTATTCAGTTGTTTCCGAAATTGCAATTTTTTTTTACTTGTAAAAAAAAATACGATATACTTGAGAAGAGAGAAAAAAAAAGAGAAATTTACACCTTGTAATGATCACTAAGTGATTTAAATTTGTTAGCCTTTATTATTGATAATAATTTTATTCATCTTTTTCTTGTACGAATTTTTTTTTTTTGCTTTTTCGTTGGTTTTTCATTCTTATTTTTTTTTGCCCTGTATTTGTCTCTTTTAATTTCGTACATTGTTTTTCTTCTTATTTTTTTCAATAATGATAAGATCATTTTCGTTGCATAGCATTTTAAGGCCCAACAAAGATTAAGTATAAAGAATTAAGATTAAAATAAACAAACAATTTAATATGATATAAAATATATATATTAAAGATTAAAAAGAAATACTACACGCATAAATTTTCAGAGTTGTAAGCCAATCAAAGATGAAAAAAAACACACACACATTTTCCGAATTCAATCTAATTGAAGAGAAAAAGTGGTGAAGAAGAACCGAGAAAAAAGTACATGCGACAGAAATTGTGGACCAACTACTGATGTGTCCACACAAAACGGAAGAGTAAACACAAGCAGCATGCGACTGTATATTAAAAATAAATTACAAATAAATCATCTATTTACTTTTACATATATATTTGTTAGTCGGTCATTTGTGTGTGCATGTAATTACTGCAAAATGAAGAGAGAAAAAAAACCATTTTTTTTCTTCTCGCTCTCACTCTTTTTTTCATACACATACAACATTATATAATAATGTTTTATTCAGTTTTAATTAAATATTCAACAAACAAACAAACAAACAAAGAATTATATATATATATGAAAAACATTGTGTATCTACGCCGGCGCCCAAACCATTCACTTCATTTACAAATAGAACGTAACCAAAATGATTGATTGCAATTTTAAATGTGCTTTTAAGGACTGCGCAAATACCGAAATTATCTGCATGAAAATCAACAATTGGATGAAATTGCATTAAATTATTATCGGCGAAGCGAGCAAAACAAACAGAGAGAAAACATGTTGTGAATACATAGTCAATGTTTGTGTCACGATTCGACAGAAAATCGCGACGATAATATCCTGCGAGAATCAAATCTGATTGCTTCAACGTGAAGTAAAATTGGATTTTTCTTCACTCGAATCCAGGATATTAGGGACTTATTGAGAAAAAAAAACAACCTAAAAAAAGCAATTTATAAACCAAATCCAAACAAAATGAAGAAGAAAAAAACTGCAAAAAAGAGTATGATTTACAACAAAAAATGACAGAAGCACAATAAAAACTAACAAAAAAATTATTTAGCATATGACATACGAATAGGTCTACGCAAATGGAGAATAACATAACATTTACATTATATGAAAGAAAAATGAAAACAACTATGGCTATATGAGCATTAAACGCATAAGTTTTAATTTATAATTGCATATTACGATAAACAACACACACACAAACAACTATTAGAAATAGTGGGAACATCAACAACAACAAAACTTTGTAAAAAAAACGCTAATCAATTAAAAATAAAACAAGCATCAAAATATTATTTAATCCAATGAGAAAAAAAAAACAAATTCACCAAAAACCCTTTTAATTTCTTCCCATTGTTTTTATTTTTGTAGGTCAATTTTTTGTTTTTGTTTTTCAGCCGAAGTAAAAGAGAAAAACTCCTTTTTTCATCTTTTTTTGACGAAAACCTTCTTTTTTTTTCATTTGTTGGCGATTTTTTTTTCTTTGTCTTCGAAGTACAATCGATTTTAAAGTGAAAACGAACATTTATTTTCTGCCTTGATTCGCATTTCTTTTTTATCGTTAGGATATTTGATGTGAAAATTTGTAATCAAATTCATTTAGACGTCTTCATGAATGCTTTTACACTCGAAAGTTTGGACACTTTGGAGTCTAAACCAAAAAAAACACACCACACAACACCCATAATTGAACAATCCACCAAAAAAATTGAAAAAAAAACCCTCAAACCTTTCAATGAAAAGGTCCTTTCATGCCATCAGCTCTGTCATAATACGTATTTCCCGAATTTCGATGCGTTTTCATTCCGGTTCGGTATCGCCGTCTTCAATTCGATTATGTTTTCTGTTATCCTCGGTAAGGTCTTCTTAATTCAAACCATTTGAATGTGTTTTAATTACCAAATTAATGATTAAAAAAACAATTGATGTTACTATTTTTAGCATTGAATAGCTATCGTATTGCTCAATCAATCTTGGGTCAATCATACAATTTTGTATTTGACTAATCAAGTATTTATGTATATTTGGTAAGGCGCATTTATTGTGTATTCGACCACTCTTCCTCATTTTCATTTCGAAACCATTCGAAAGTCTATTTCAAAGAAATACAAAACAAAAAAAACGCGAAGCAATATTATCAACAAACGAATCAATGAATCTTCGAAGGAGAGATGTTTGTGAATATATGTTACGTGTCGCAGTAGCACACACGCACATTCAAACACGAGCCGTGCTTTTCAAGCACATAAATTCCAGCTTTCTTAATTGTTTGTTAGTCTATTTGGTGTGGCATTGCAAGTGAAACGAATATGAAAGAAGAACTTTTTCGAACATGGTTATTAAAATGCCAACCAAAAGAAAAAGAGAAGAAAAAAAACCACTAAGTACAACATCTTTATAATCTGATATATATTTCACCTTTGTTAGACAAAAAAAAAGAGTAAAGTAAATCTAAAAATGAAAAGATAAAAAAAATTAATATGTTATTATTAGTCATTTGAAAGTAATCAAATCGTTGACATTATAAATTGCACATTTATGTAATATCAAGGAATACAAATGGTTCTTATTAGTAGTAAAGTATATTATATTGCGAACACACAGTCACACACATATACATTAAATCAAACTTAACAAAACAACAACAACAACAAAATAATTCGAGACAAAAAAAGTATATATTATATATTTATTATTTAAACTGGTGAACAGAACCAACAAAAAAAAACAAGTTATTCTCTGTAAATGACGACAAATTATATAAAAATAAACACAAATGTACCACATGTAACAGAAAAATAACAGAAACGGATGTTTTATTTTACACATGTATTTACTATACGCCTGAAGTTATGCTAAACAATTTTTACTCTCCAATCGCGTGCGTTTGGAGAGAATCGCAGTCAAGCCGAGCAAGCTTTACATACGGTTGGAATCGGCTTATGTTTACATTGTAGTTTGTGTACGCACCGAGTGTGCGATATTCTAAACGGATTTTCTTTTCAGCTTAATGACGTGCGCACGCTATGTCACATGAAGGAATCACCGACCTTTTTCCAGAAACAATTCGAGCTAATGGAATTTATTCAAAGTGAAGAAAGAAAAAAGACTCAAGAAAAAAGGGAATTCCAAGGAAAATTCAAGCCATTTGTACTATGAATGGCGGTAGTAGAAAGTAATACATTCCAATTTTATTCACGGTTTTTCTTTATTTGTTTTTATTCAAGTCCAACGGACATTCAAATACAAATGAAGTAAACTGACTCCAACAAAAAAGTACTATAATATGTGACCTAAAACCTATAATCATCTAGGCGCTGTGTAAAATTGCTTTGGTAATTGCATGACAAAGAATAGTGGCTAATTCATATATGACACAAGCTTTTAGTCTAATCAATAAATCTAACGAAATGTAGGGGAAAAATATCCTCATGGATGATGAGATTCACGGAGTTGATGTACGATTAATTTGGTGCTGGTTGGTCTCGTTGTGGCAACAAATGGATATCAGGAATCTCTTCGTCTTCATCCGGCTCGATTTTATGAGGACCCGGCCCAACTACTGTTTGGATTGAAGAAAATTTGGTAAAAGAAATGAAAAAAAGAAGAATAATGACAAAAGATAAGCAATTTTGGTTGTTGAAGCAAAAACTAGCAGTTATTCGGCGCATTCTGCACCCAGAAATATTTATTTCGATTTGAATTACCTTGAATTTTATTATGTACTTGCTGAAAACTGTTACGAATATCATCCAGTGCGGTGCCAAGACCACTTTTGACTTTATTGAATTCTTGCATTACCAATTGAAGGCGACCCAGAAGATAGTTGAGATTTTCGTCTACCTCACTTATGTGCCTTGTGACTTGAGATACCTGCAATAAAAATGAGAATCGAATGGGAATAATGGGAAATTGTAACATTTTCTCTTGAAATGGTAAGTTTTTACAGATTGGACTAAAACTATCTTTCTACGCTAAAAATATCTTTTGGAGACGGTCAGAGAAATAGAACCTATTCTCCAAGCCAACTGAATAATTGAAATGCAAACGAATTGAAGAAATGAAGAAACATAAAACAAACAAAAAATCTCTTCATATTTACTTTTCCTTGCATTTGGTCCATAGTCTCTACCGTGCCATTGACATATGAAGTGGTAAGCTCTTGTAATTTATTCAATGCATCTTTGCTCGATGATACTTCTTGGTACATGATGCCAATCTGGCGCCACACTTGGCTAATTTCCGATTCAATTTTCGATGTTAAATTCGTAATGGCGCCATTATGATTATTCCAAATGGTTTCGTTGATTGTTTCGAATTTACCACCGATTGCTGATTCCAAATCCTTTGAATTTTGTTTAATCGCTTCACTAACTTCTAATGTGATGGCATGCACATTAAATTCCATGTTTCGTTTAATGGACAGCACATTATCGCCCATTTGCGCTAGCATTTGTTCCAATTTATGAACATCATTTTGTTTCGATTCGAGTGTGTTGCCGTCGCAACCTTCGCCAGTGTTTTTCAGTAGTTCACCGATTTGAGCATCGAGTGAGGCAGCATTCTCCTTAAGCTTTGAGGTGGTTTTTGCGTAGCTCTTATCGGATGCGGTCAATACTTCGTGTCGCATATCACTGATTGCGTCCAGTGTTTGGTTCGTCAATGAAACGAAGAAGTCCTTGTCAATTGGACCACCGGAACTGTTGCCATCGCCACAAGAGCTTGAACCAATATTGGATTTGATGAATTGCAAATCTTTCGAAATTGAATCTTCCAATGATCCATCACCAGACGATCTAGCGCCGCCAATTTTGCCCAAATTCTCTTGGATTTGGCTAATGACATTGCCATTTTCCTCCAACTTTTTGGCAAGATTCGTTTCAATGGTCGTAAATGAGTCGCGAGAAGTTTGCGAATCACCATCGTGTTTTACACGTAGCTCATCGACTTCTTTGCGTAAATCTTTTACGTTCACCGATAGATCCTCCACTTGATTGCTCAATTCCGTGAGTTTATCCGAATCAGATGATCGTGACGGTGAGTTGACCCATTTTTCTATGTTTTCGATGGCTTTGTTTGATTTCGTTTGTTCACTGAACTTCTCGTCCAAACCCATTAGCAACGTTTCAATTTGGCCAACGCGCTCTTCAAGCCGAACATATGATCCTTGCATGGGGTCAAAGATCTTTTGGCCCTTTTGTAGCGCCTGCAAACCACGCTTGATTATTTCACCCAGTGCCCGTTCGCGTTGCTCATGCCGATCCAATTTGTTCTCCAATTGACTATACGAATGAACCAATGACAGTAAACCATCCCGCACTTGTTCATTGCTGCGAATCGAGAACAATAAACAAAGTAAACGATAAAATAAAGGAGAAAAAACCAAAGAAAAGCGATTAATTTTTCAGAATTTCTAAATGAACCTCGCTATTTTTTCTCATTCCGCCTTCCTTAAACTGTGTTTGTTTCCCCGTACATTGTTATCAATGCTTTTACAAAAATTTTACGCACAAATTAAATCGCTTTCAAGCCGACCACCAAACAGAACAAACAAACAAAAACATTATTTTTAATTATCATGTTCAATTAGATTTTTAGTCAGTATCCTTGTTCGTTTCGCATTTGTTAGTTAATGGAAGCGATGAAGCGATAACGCTGTGAATGCAACATCATATACGAGCAATGATAACTCTAGTTGGTTGTTGTTTGTGCTGTTCGTTTCAAAACAGAATACGAGAAATTAAATCAATGCGCAACAAACACTGTTGTGTGTTGGTCAAAGGAATTGCTGAGTAAAAATCCTAATGGCAAAATTCAATTAAAATTCTTCTGAGTATGCCTTCTGCTTTGAAATAAACACGCACAAATTAGTGCTCATCAATTTTTCGAGCAAAGAGTTGGAATCAATTAAAAAATGATAATAAGAAAGAAGAGAAAAAAATATGGGAGAAGAAAAAAACAAAAACAAAAATCGAGAAGAAACGAAAACTACTAAAGAAAAGAAAAGAGCTAAATATCTATGTGGAAAGAGAGAGAAGTGAAACCGAAAAAAAAACCGAATTCAGAAAGTGAAGAGTTGTAAGTAAATAGAAAATTGCACGAGATATGGGTTATGCCATATGTTTTCCAAGTGTATCAAATCAAATCAATCATGTGTGGCGACCAAACGACGTCGACGCGTAATTTGTACGAGTCGCCAGCAAATTGCAATATCGCACTTTTCAGCTACACTTACGTTACTTCGATAGCAGCCTGTGCTGACGGCACGACCACATGCACTAGGGTCAGTGCTGCAACGATGACCAGATAATTTATCGCCTGCATGTTTGTTTCCTTCAACTTCGATTGCTGCTTTGTTGCAACGTTGGCTTCCTTTTCAGTGTTTGATCCGGTACGCGTGGTTATCTCCTCTGCATGACATTTGATAAACGAAAATTAAAACAAATGAAGACATCGTTTTCAAACTGATAAAAACGTTTTCTAAACGAGAACTACCGGCAACTATGCTCGAGAACGACGAATGATTTGTATGCGTTTGCGTGACTTTACACAAAATATAGCGTTTTTATTGTGGAAGCGTGTATGATAAATTGAACGGAAACTAAAACTGATATGTAAGTTAATGACACTATTCTATTCTAGTGAAAGTTTTTGAAAAATGAACGAAACATCGCTCTGGACCTAACTAAATCTATTTTACATTGACCAGAACAGTTTTAAACTGGAATCGTTTTTTTTGTCCCGCCCGTTGTGTGATTAATATCACTTTTTATAGTAGCACAACTTTTTTTGGTATGACCTTTGAAAATGACATAATACCAATAGGAGGGTTTAAATGTTTCAATTATTTATCTTTTTTTTTAAGTACTTTTCATTGAAGCTGAACAAACAACATCTCCCCATTTTTATTCGATTTTTCTTATTCCATTTTCTATTTTTCGAGCAAAGTTTTAATTGAGTGTCTGTCCTTTTTTTTTCAGTAAGGCGTACCCTGTATACAGTATAATATACATATTACAGCCTTCCAATCTATCAAACTATTTGAATCTATTCTAAACTATAGAACAGTGATTAAGTTTTCTATCGTGTTTTATGACTTCGAAAAAAAAAACTTACTTACACAGCTAAAAAAAATTACTTTTTTCTAACCCTGTGCAATTCTTCTTTACTTCTTCTCTGTTTGTCTGGTCGTGGTTTAATTTCACTCCCTTTTTTTCTATTTCCTATGCGATAAGACGATGAACTGCATTAGAAACTATCTCTATATTTCACTTTCAGAAATCAAATACGTTGAAGTTTCCTGATTCACCATATCTTGCTTGATTCAATTTCATTTTTTTAAATCTCTATTATTATTATTGATTTCTAATTAAGTCCCAACGAATGATAACGATTGGTTTACTTTATTCAACCAGAGCTGGGCGGTAGAATAGTGAAATACGTTGAAAAAAAAAAACAGAATAAAGGAAATTCGAACAATTTTTTTTTTCAAATTTAGGTGAAAACGATTGTTCACGTAATTCGAAAACGAAACACCTAAAATATGTACTTGCTGAGTTATTGACCTTTTTTTTCTAATTTTGTGCAAGATAAGAGCGATGATTTGGAATAATTTAACTATGAATCATTTCGATGAAGAAAAAAATTGATGAGTTTATTCATCTCAATATAAAAATCGGTTCGTTCATCTCGAATACGAAAATCGTATGTTTGCTCATTACTCTTGGCGAGAAAGACACAACAACGAAAAAAATTGAATCAAAGCAATCTTTTGCTCGTAGTAAGATTTTTTCAAAGGTCTTCTTATTTGTACTGTTATCTACTTTCGTATTTAAACCATGACGCTATTAAATTATTATCAATTGTCCATGCAAAATTATTTTTTGCATAAAAACAAATCTGCACATTGAAACGAATTGAACTTGGAATTGTGCACTTTTATATTTTCATGTGATTATTGAACTTTTTTTTCTGGAGATGTTTCTTATCGACCGTTACCCTCATTTATAAAAAATCTCAATGAAAAAAAACGGTTTTTATTTAAACAAACTCAGTAAAAACAAAGAGTGCATCTAAAGTTTGGATTCTAAACTCACCCGTAATCGAAATTAGTTTTATGTAATACTTTTTCGAACCGAGTCACTTTTATTCAACGGCTGAAAACACTCACAATGTTCGAAATCCTTTGTTGTTCGTCAAGTGCAAAAGCAGTGCAATTGTTCGTCTGTTCACGTCGAGTTGAGCACCGCAACTGAATCGATTTGAATGAGTTGTATTTTGTTGAACGGTTGTTTTCTTCTGTGTTCTTTACAGTAAAAATACACAAATACCCAGAACGAAGGAATATATTATATTGTTGGTAGCTAGAAGAAATAATTTGAGATGTACAATCTGGCTATTTGTGTTGGTTGAAAGAAAGCGTAATGATCGTCGAACGCACACCAAATTGGCTTGAACAAAGTGAGAGAGTGAAATGAACAAGTGATCGACACTGTCGATTCGACAGTACTGTGTATGTTGTTGATAGTGGCAATCAAAACGACGCATTATCGGCATTTAAGCCGAACTGAGTGTGTGAAATGGGAAAGAAGAAATAGATGAGATGCACGAGATGTAACACCAACGCTAAAATACTTGAAAAGACGTAGGAAAGAAATACATACACAACGCAGTAACATGTGTAAGGCATAAAGGAATAATTAGACTCCCGCATATAAATTGAAATACGTACGTTGCTCACACACTCACTCACAACCGAAAAGGGATGTGAAGAGACCAAGTTTTGACAGTCTTTATAGAAATAAAAAACATGAAATGTGCATTTGAAATGTATAATTGGTAATATCGTCGCCATTCCCCTGAACACATGTAAATTTAAACGGTAGAACTCAATAGATTGCAATGAGGCCCCCTCTTTGAAACGCAATTTGAGTGCAAATGATCGTTAAAGCGGTCGGTTTATTTTGATCTAATGTACAACGTAAAACTGTAATTTTTCAAAAATAGCTCCATCGATTGAGCTCATTTCAATGGAGAGCTAGACCGAGAGTGATGTAAACAATTAGTTAGAGAATAAACACCGACAAATGATTCAATTGAAACCAGCGAACCATGAAGATTGAATGAAGATTGATCTGTGTTCCAAGCGCATATCAATAGATTTTTCTATTGCGTTGGAGAAAACAAAACCGTCTGGAAATGAACCGGATTGTTCATGAAAATAATGGAATTTACCCGAAAAAAAAACTCATTCAAGAGCCAGACATCATCAGTCGAAATTTAAGCAGTTTGAAATAAACAGTGAAACCGTTTGAAAATATTTACTTGAAATCAGAGATCAAAATTTTTTGGGTACCGTTTAATAACACAAACAAGTTCCACCTCCTGGTTTCGCTTGTTGTTTTGTTTTTTTGTTGTTGTTGGTAATTAAGCTATAAACCAAAAATAACGAACATATGACGCACGACCGACGTTTCACACTTTTCCTTCGATTCTCTTCCTCTCGAGACACATACATAAAATGGTTAAAAACGTGATTTCCCAAACGGTCATTGAATTTTCTGTCAAAACACGCAGACGTTTCAGTAAAACAATGAAGTCAGGCGGAAATTGGCGTCATATACGCAAAACACCATCAATTACTCAAAAACCAAAAATCTTCGTATGTTGTTTGAACCGAACGACTTTCAAATGAATTGCGTGCAGTTGCATCGAGTTCGCAATGAAAGATGACAGGCTGAACAAATTTTGTTATGTGAGATGAAAACGCATTGCATATCTAATGTGTTTGAAATGCTGTTTCAAATTCAAAACCAAATCTTAATGACACTCATCAATTCATTCTAGATACAAATAGCCATCTCTCACTTTTGCTTTGCCGTTCAGACAGTTTGTTCGAGATGCCACCACACACACACGGAGACCAATAAATTGTCCGCGGTGAATGTTCTATTTGTTAGATGCGTAGTTAAAAATGTTTACGATTTTTTTGTTCGTTTCACTTTTTTTCGTTCAACTAAATGATTGATTATTCACATTTCATGCGGCTGCCTTCAGTTCAAACACAACAATTTCGCAATTTCAAATGTTTGTTGAATTTTTCGTCGACTTTCATTCTATTTTTGCTGCAAACGATCAATTTCATTCATTATTCTACTTCAAAGATGAGTTTTTTTCTTTCGATTCAATGGAATTTCGGTTTGAATTTCTTTTCTTTATTGCACAAGAGCAAATAAAATATAATTTTGGATACAAAATATAACGTCTTAGAACCATTCATACATGTTGTATGATCTTTCCATTATTGCATTTAGTTTGCTCTTCTTAAACATTTAAAACCATACATAATCCATTTTTGATTATGTCGGCTACTCTTCCACCAACCAGCAAATGAGTTTTGTCTAGAATTGAATCTCTTTTAAATGCCCAGTAACTATAGCATTAGCAGAACTCTCTTAAACCACAATAGAATCAAACGCTTGATAAAATCCTGCTAAGAAAAAATGATTTACCTTTTTTCAGTTGCCAACATCATAGGGGTATTGCAGCGACCATAAAATATATGTATTTCATCAAGTTTATCAAGCTCTTTCCAAGTTTATGCATAGAGTCGAACTTTTGTTCAAGCTCTACCATCTAAATGTACAGTACAGACGTAAGATGACGTCTTTTCTGGTCAAAAAAGTTGCAATATCCCTTTGGCCAACATTATCTGAAGAATCCCAGTAAATTGTTCTGAAAGTTTTTTTTTTGTATATCTTTAAAACGTGTCGTATTTCTATCAAAGATCGTTTTTACCATGAAAACATTTCAACCTAATTTCAAAAAAATGTCTACTCATGTAGTACTAGCACCTATCTTAATAAAACTCGATATTTTCGTTTCAGTTCATAAAATCGAAAGAATTTTCTTTATTTATGTTTAAATTTCATCAATAGAGTATAATTCAATTTGAATTCATTTCATGCATGCACGACATATAAGCCATATGTGTTCCTTTTCTTAAAGGAATGCAATCGTAAATCTTTTTGTCTCTCTTAAATATCTATCATGACTTAGTCAAATGTTAAGCTCTAGCTCAAATCAAACAGCTAAGTGAAAATCCTTGGCGCAATGTTCATTGACATAAGTTCTTGGAACAGCAATTTGGTCGCGTAGGGCATCTTCACTTGGGTGATCTGAAAATGAAACAAAAACGACATTTTGATCATTACAATTTCCCCTTCTCACACAAATGCACTCATTTCGTGTTAACATAGGTGTTAATTTTTGTAATAATTATTCGTTTTTTTATTCACTTATTACTTTTGTCATATTTATTCATTTATTCGTTATTCGTTCTTATTCGCGAATAAGAACGAATAATTATTCATTTATTCGTGAATAAGTTGTAATAGTTATTACAATGATAAAATTTGCCTATGTTTTTATATGGAGCACATGTTTATGCTATATTTAAGCGACATCTTGACGGTACACGCTGAACTATGAAACTTCTTTATAAATATACTGCCAACTATCAATGACAGCAACCAATGACAGCAACAATAAAACATATTTGTATTGCAAAATACTTCCACCTTGCAGATGGCGCCAAACCAAACGTCATTCTAGTCATTTTTCTCATTGGTTATTACTTCTTACAACTTCTTTTTCAATTTTCATTCGTTTTCTTATTCGTTTCTTATTCACTTCTTATTCGTTTCATATATTATTCAATTTTTATTACATTTCTTATTCGTTTCTTGCATGAATAAATGAATAATTATTCGTTCTTATTCGCGAGTAAGAACGAATAACGAATAAATGAATAATCACATAAAATGAATAAGTAATAAAATCTTTTATTACTTATTATTTATTCGTTACACCTATGCGTGTTAAACATCAATTACCTCGCATCGATTCTGACATCCGCGGCATTCGAATTTGTTGCTTTTCATGCTGATGACAATGAGACCGCAGTAATTGCAAACGTGTACGAGATATGGATCCGACACTTCGTACAACCGTTCTCGCAGAAATAATGCTGCACCGTGTGAAATTTGGCAATCGCGTTCCATTTCGCCGAATCGTAATCCACCGTTGTTCATGCGACCGCACACCGGTTGACGCACCAGAATATGCAATTTGCCACGAGCTCTCGAGTGGATTTTATCGTCGACCATGTGCTTCAATCGTTGATAATATGTTGGCCCAATGAAAACTTGTGCATTGATCTTTCTGCCCGTATGGCCATTGTACATGACTTCATAGCCTCGCAAATGATAGCCGTACTCTTGCAAAAGTGTGGAGATTTTCTGTACGTTGACCGCATCATTGAATGGTGTTGCATCACTGTATGGTGTTGCCAATTCTTGGCCCATGTTCGATGCTAGCTTCCCAGCCAAACACTCAATCAAATGTCCGATGGTCATTCGAGACGGAATGGCGTGTGGATTGATGATTATGTCGGGCGTGACACCTTCGCATGTGAACGGCATGTCTTCTTGGCGATACTGCATTCCACACGTACCCTTTTGACCATGGCGCGATGCAAACTTATCACCAATTTGCGGGATTCGTTGAGATCGAACGCGTATCTTGATGAAGCGATATCCATCCGCGCTCGACGTCATCATTACTTGATCAACGATGCCCGTTTCGTTGTGACGCAAAATGGTCGATGCATCCCGTTTTTCGTAGGATTTCACCTCTTCGTTCAACTAGTGGAAATGAAAGATGGATTAAGAAGAAAAAATTGAAAATAAAAATCTTGGAAAATCACTTAAATTGTATCGTTCATACCTCGTCCACGTTTTCAGGTAATACGACGGTTTTTCCTATGATCGCATCGTCACCCGATACGCGAGTGCCCGGCGCAGTAATGCCATCTTCTTCGAGTTTATCGTACGCAGCATTTCGCATTCGCTGGCACGTATTTGGATTGGGAAGTTCAAATTGCTCTTCTTGCTCGCCAATTTGTTTTCTCTCTGTGTCTTTGTAGGAACGATAGAAAATGGAGCGAAAAAATCCACGTTCAATAGACGTTGAATTTAGGATAACACTGTCTTCCTATGAATCGAAAGAGGAATGTTAGTTTCTATAAATCATTTTCTGCAATTTCAAAACAAAATTCAATGCTCAAAATTATCTGATTACTCGCTCACCTGATTATAACCCGTATAGCACAAAATGGCCACAACCGAATTGATACCCGCCGGCAATTCATTGAAACGAAGATATTCCATGGATCGTGTCGTAACCAGGGGTTTCATTGGATAGTACAGCACATGAGCAAATGTATCCATTCGAACGTTAAAGTTTGTGATGTAAATGCCCATGGCCTGTTTGCCCATGGCGCTTTGATATGTATTCCGTGGGCTTTGATTGTGATCCGGAAATGGGATAATCGAAGCACAGACACCCAGTATCATGGCTGGATGAATTTCGCAATGCGTATACGTTCTGCAATAAGCGTATTCATCGTTATCCTTCATATCCATGGGTGACATTGCAATCATCATTGTCTCTTCTTCCGCAGTATCGATATATTCAACAACGCCGGATTGCACCAAATCTTGCCAACGATAAACCTCGGGCCGTTTCAATAGTTCAATGTGGCTCTGTTTGATTAGAAGCTTTCCATTTTCAACGATCATCAGCGGTCGACAGATTCGGCCGGCGTCCGTATGAATTCGAATTTCTCTGTCACGAATATCACGAACAATTGACACTTCAGCCACAATATCTTCCAGTTTACGTCGGAAATTCCGTAAATTTCTCATCAATAACTCTGGATCACGATGAATGCCAACCCAACAGCCGTTTACAAAAATTTTCGTTGCATCAACGAGTGACGAGGGTACGATGACGCTTAAGTTTTCCATTCGCCATTCTTCCAAGAACTCTACAATTGGTGCGGGATTTGAGCCCACGGAAACGTATGCCATCAGCGCTAAATTCTTGACCAAACCAACGGCAACACCTTCGGGTGTTTCAGCCGGGCAAACCATTCCTAAAGAAAGGAAAAAAGATGTCAATGTTAAAACGATTTTATCAGGGCGTCATTCGGCCCAATCCAGGTCCAAACGTTTTTTCTTAAATTATTTATAATAGAATTATTTATAAATAATAACTTATAACTTTCCCCAGTGTGTATTATGGAGCTGACGGGGATGTGCCATTTTGCTATCACGGTTGATTGGCGAATTGATGCGACGCAAATGGGACAATGTCGATGCGTATGTGAGACGATTCAGTACTTGTGATACACCGCATCGATTTTGATGGGCTTTTTTGTGATCACCCCAATTGCCGGTGGCCAATGAATAACGCAATCCATCCGAGATGATCTTCGGTTGTACAGCCAATTCCATTTTGAATGGTCTTTTCAAATTGATAAACTTTTGAGCGTAGAATTTCACCTGTTTCATAAGATTTCTGAATAGGCCACGAAACAAGAATGACATTAACGGTCCGGCTAGATCTAATCGCTTGTTTGCATAGTGATCACGATCGTCTGGTTCACGACGGCCCAATGCTGCCAACAGCAATCGATGCACCATGTAGCCAAGGAAATAGGCTTTTTGCGTTTCACAACCATCGTATACACCGATATGCGGCAACATTTCTTTTTGGAGAATATCTCTGGCGTAGTTGATTCGCTTTTGCTCGGTTATACCTGGCCGTGTTCCTCTCGCACCGACGAAATTTAATGCCACATTTTGGCTTTGAATCACGAATGCATCGTCTAGTGATGCCTTTAACATTTCCAACATTTCATGGTCATCAAAATCGCAGTTGATGTGCTCCAAAATGTCACTGTCCGGAATGAAACCAAGAGCACGAAACACGACTATGATTGGAATTTCTTGCTTGATGTACGGTAAAATTGCAGTTATCGGCTGGCCAATCGTCGAATTCCTACTGCTCAATTTACGATGTGCCAACATATTGACCCAAAGAGTTGACATCGGTCGATGTGTTTGCTCTAAACACGATCGAATTTCCGCCTTGTATGAATGCTTGCCATCTTTCATTGCAAACACATACACTATGTTCGCAGCCATCTTTTCCTGTGCAATCAACACCTTTTCCTCGCCATTGATTATGAAATATCCGCCTGGATCGAGGGGACACTCGTTTACTTCGGCCAAATCACGCTCGTTCAATGCACTTAACCAACAAAATTTCGACCGTAACATTATTGGAATTCGACCCATGCAAATATTTTGATATTTTGTCTCGACTGCCTCTTGGCCGTCGACCAATTTCGTGTGCGTGACGTCAACATAAAGCGGTGCTGAATATGTCAAATTTCGGAGACGAGCCAAATTTGGCATGATATCGTGTGCACTACCATCTTTTTCCCAATGCGCCGGCCTGTGCATCGACACTTGATTGAATTCCAACACATGACGTACCTGTTGAGAAAGAAAGAAAAATCGACTTTAGTCATATGAATTCAAAATACTTGCAGAAAAAAATCGTGGTTCAGTCGAAATCGTTTTACCGGCAATTCCATTTGACCTGATTTGTAATTCGGTTCGCTTATCATTTCAATGGGTGGTGCATCGTCAATTATACGCTGAATCGATATCTGTTTGATTGAGAAACATAACCAAAATTTCCAATCACTGAATTTATTTATGAAAAAGTAGCATTTTTTGAACCAGGAGAAATGCATACAAACCTCAACAAATTCGTCAAAACTGTCAATCTGTTGACTCACTAGACCTTTTTCATTGAAATACGAATTGATAACAATCCATGCAGCCTCTTGCCATAGCTCGGGCGAAATCTCGTCAGTGTCGTCTTCAACATAGCCTAACATTTGGTTGAAAATCAGAATCTCACAATATTAGAAAAATTGACAGTAAAACGATTTGAATTGATATTCATCGATTTTGTAAGTTGAACGATTAATTGGTGCCACACATTTGGTGTCAAAGTGAAGTATTTCAGCAATCAAACACAAAACCCAATTGTTATTGAGTGTCTGTGTCAAACTGCCAATCAATTAAATATATCGATGCCAAATGGCGTGATATTGGTTTCAATGGCATAACCACGAAAAGGACTTGGAACTCTAGCTTTGACACTTCAAAAAAAATGTGCTCCAATCAGCTCCAGAATTGTGTTTCAAAGTCATTTTTCCAGTGAATTTCATGAAAAAACAACACTGCGTTGAACCTATTCCAAATTGTAGTGCAAAACAATTGGTTGAAATGCGAATTTTTCTCGCATCAGAAACATTTCCAATGGGATTTGCTATACACTGACAAGATTGAACATGTACAGCATAATTCTGATGAACAACCAACGTTTTCTATTAAAATTTTAACAATTACCTTCGCTATCAGCGTCAATCATGGTCAGTTTCAGAACAATTTCACTTTATTCAGATAAAAATTACGTTTTTTTGCTACTAAAAATTCAATTTTTAGTGTAAATCAACTGAAGCGCCATGCAAACTATCCAGTCGAATGGTCAAGCAAAATGACAGAACATGTGTCGATGTAAATGAATGGAGCACAGCGAGAGAGTGCGAGAAACTGTTTAGCGTCGTTGATCTACGTCTGAGTGTGCTCCGTTCAAACCGACCGGTGACAGATCGAAATAAAAACCGCAAACCAATGCGATGCAAAAATGTTCGCTGTACAGTAAACAAACCGTATTATTTACGCGAAGAAAAAAAATGATACATAGAATTAGACGTGAAGAAATTAATACATAATCATTGTTATGAATGGTTTTGGAATGAAGCAAAGCCTTGAAAGAGCATAGATAAGCGAAAAACGTAAACAGCTTATGCAAAAACCGAAGCATAAGCGACACACGTTTTCTATTGAATTACACAGAAATGTGCACGAGTCGGAGTTGTTACATTCTGCTGATGACAGTTTTTGTGACACGGTATTCGTTTCAGGCACATTTCGTCGTCTGCATTGATCAGCCGTTTGTGACAAGAGTTTTTGAATTTTCCATCTCGTTTTTTGTAAAATGATTGCTCGACGAATGATGAAAAAATGAGAAGAATGTTTGCTAATTGAAATGTAGAAAGAATATTTTTTCGTGATGGTAAAGGGATAAACATGACTAAGATTCGCTAACTATCGTTCTTACCTAAACAATGACATCGTTCAATTAACAACCAAATCCACTTGGAACAAACCATAAAAATTGAACTAAAATTGTTTTTTTTTTTCGATTCTAAATAAGTCCTTTCAATAACATTTTCATCATTTATTTATGTTTTTTTTTCGTTTTTGTGTTTCAATTGACAATAAAATACAGAGAATCAAAATTTATATCTCTAATGTATACATATAGAATTTGTATTCATCACGCATGTTTCACACTGTGTTATCTGGTGTGTGTGTGTGTGGTTTTTTTTCATTTCTTTTTTTTCAATGAGTAATAAATAATCGCAATAGTGATGAAAATATAATTTAAAATATCTCATTCTGTTCATACTTTGTAATTCGTTAGTACACAGCATTGCTGTGCAATGGCAAAAACAATGAAGATATCATTGCTGCCTCCAACCCCATTCCCAATTAATGGTTAATTTATATCAACAAATCTATCTGATTTTTTAATAGGATTTTTCTTTTCTTCTTCTCTCTTGTTTAATGTTAAATGTTGTTGTTTCTTTAGTTAAAATTACACTGGTTGTTTTGGACGAAATTTTTTGACGAAATCTCAGTGCTATTCGTCGTCTTTTGGTTGATTGAACATGTTAGAATTGTTTGATTTCGGTATTTGTGGTGTGTATGTTTCTTTATTGAATATACGTTACGGATGGTGCATTTTCATATACTTTTCATGTTCAACTATTTTGCGAGAAATCGTGCACTAATTCGGCTATTATGGTTCACCCAGTTTAATTCGTTCAATTTGTACTAGAAATACTGTTCATCATCTATAAAAGCGACTAGGATTTAAGCCTTAACAATGAAAAAAAAATGCATCTTCATCGGTCGATTCAATCGATTTTGGTAAGTTGATTTGAGTGTGTGTGTTTTTGTTGGTTTTTGAAAACGATTTGATCAAAGGTTTATAAAACAGGCGCCTTTCTTTTCTGTATGTACGAAACATCACTTGATTTAATGCATTGATGGTTGGTTGGTTGTGGTCGATGTAGCGGCGGATGATGATGATGACTGTGCATTACTGTTTGAGGGCTGAGGTGTTATTGGTTGCGGATTGGTTGCATTTTTCGATTCATCTCCGTTTAGGATTTCCGATGGAAAACCCGTGACCTTGGATTCATTTTGATTCGCCTGCAATCCACTCACGAGGCTCTGCGAATCAGCAAACATTGAGTTATTCGCCTAGGAAAAAATGAGTAATAAATTTACTATCATTGAACTATCAAAACGTGTCTCTATTTCACATGTAACAAGTCTACTTACAATCGAGCCTTGTGCGGTTGCCTTTTTCGCTCCTTGTTGGGCCAGCAAATCACGGAGTGTTGCATTCAGATTGCCCACATTCAATTTAAGACTATTCAATTCGGTATTGACACGCGAGACCGTGGCATCGAGTTGTTGATTTGATTGCTTGAATTTCGGCCATTCACTTTCAATCGAATTGACGTGAGACGAAACATTTGCAAAATTCTCATTCAGCCCATCCAATTTGGTTTGATGGTCATGCATTTCCGTGTCGATGGTTTGCATTTTCTGCGTATATTGCACATTCAACGCAGCCAATCCATCGGACACATTTTTCAATCCATTTGAACAGTGTTCTGTTAGATTTTTCACCCAGGCCGATGTTTCATTTTGCAAGCTGGCCGTGAAATTTGAATGCGATGAATTGTTAATACTGTCAATGCCACTTTGTAGCGCTTCTAAGCGTGCTCGGTCGGCTTGCTGTGTGGATTGTATGCCTGAGTATCCTTCCTTGAGTGATTTAACATCAGTTTCAAGCGCTTGAATTTTGGCACCAAACCCAGCAACGGTATCTTTCAAATCAACCGCTTTGTCTCCTTCCGGACCATCGCCCTTGCGAATACTGTCCCTTAGCTGTGTAAACTGAACGTAAAGGAAAAACAAAATGCAGAAAAAAAAGAATTAATTTGGAATCCGAGAACAAACATATTTTTTTCAAAGGATTTCTTCGACTTACCTCCTTTTCAACCGTTTCTAAACGCTGTTGAACTTCGTATATCTTCTGGCTAATGGCGGTTTGATTTTGCTCCAATGTTTTCGAACTTTCATGCAGTTTCTGTAACGTCTCTGGCATACTTAAACATATTGCAGACACTGAAATAAATGAAATGAATGATGTTATCTCATTCTTGGAAAACGTTCAAAAGTGAAATAAAACGAAAACAAAGATAAATCAAAATGATAGCCGGATGAGTCATCATCACAAAATATGTCAGAAAATAGCAAAAAAAATGTTTTCTGTTGTTGGTTGCACATTCACCTTGTTCAATTTTGCTACGATGATCGGACAGCTGTTCGCGCAAATCGAAATATAGCCAATACATGAGCGAAATTAAAAGAAAAACGCTGAAAATGAACAGCAATGGGGCACAGGTTCGCAAAAATGAGTAATGCTTTCGGTGACGCTTCGCTATTTGAATTTTCGACTGATAGATAAATTGGTTGCAATGGCAATTATTGCATTCATAAATGAAAGAGAGAAAAGAAACGGAGAAAACAATATGGAATGAGATAACGAGCAAAAAAGTTGTGAATTTTTATTTTCAAAGCCTGAAATGTTTGCGTTTGCAGGCATGAAAATTTCAATTGGGAAACAGAGAAAGAGACTGAGAGAGAGAGAGAGAGAGAGAGAGAGAGAGAGAGCTACCAATGAATATTCTTCCTGATCGTCTGTGGATTGTGACAGCAATTGATCCTGTGAATTGATGCCATTACCAGCCGCTTGCCGTTTGCCTGAATTGCATGCTCTGTTAAACAAACAACACCAAAGCGTTTATTTAAAAAAAAAACCAGTTAATTTAACCAATAACCATGGTGAAGGTCATCTTTCTAGTCGCTATAGATACCTTTTTGCCAGCGAATGGGCAACAAGTGCGTCTAATTCGCGTCTTTTTCGCATTTTTTTACCACTCGATCGAAGCGGCACACTAACCGAATCCATTTCGTTTATACACTGGATTCACTATTCTATGGATTTCGCTTTGGTTGCGACTTCTCAATTGAATTGATGTGCTTTTGTTTTTGTTGTGTCACAAACAACGTTAAACGATTTAAAGAACAACAAGCCAATGTTTTGATGTCAATCTGCTCAAAATTGATGGCTGAACACAATCGGATTGTAAACAGCGTCACTCACGCGCACTAACTTCAAACGAGCACGATTGAATATATGTCACGTGATCCTTCCACCAATATGTAGTTTCTGTTCTATGTCGTCATATGCTTTGTCAGCTCGTTTATTATTTATGTGATGGAACGGCCCATTTGCAGAAGGAAAAAAATTGGGTTTATTCTTGTCTGCTTTTATCCATTTTTAGCACTTTCTCTTTTTTCTGGTGGTTTTTTTTTTCTGTTACAATTATTATCGATTTAGAAAAGAAACTATTACGTTAAAACGGCACAAATGGACGAATTGGTGTTAAAACTGAAGTGGGTTTTATTTTTGCTTTGGCAAAGCGCGAAACAGAACACAATCGATTATACCATGCCAAATGTTGGTTTACAATCGACAACAATTTATTGAATTCACACAACGCAGAAAAATTCTTTGACAATTAAGGTCATTTTATTTATAGGAGAATAACAGAAAGAAAAAAATAAACACAAATGTCGAAAAATAAAAATGTTCACGTTGGATTTTCACGTCAGGGTCTTTTTAACCTCGATAATAGCAAATCGTTCTGCACACGACCACTTGAATTGTAACTATGGTGCCCTTTGCCAACTGAGACTGAGAAAGTGTGTGGAATAAAAGCTTTGAGTTTGTATTTTGCCCCGTTTATGGCAAATTGCCGCGCATGCGAATTCACTTTGTGTGCATTTTCACCGCGACAATTCGGCAAATGTTTCACGTATTCAGTCATGCACAAATACACGCGCACGCACGCACACAGACATACACCCACACAATGTCAAAAAAAACGAATGGATTTTGTATTGATAAGATATTAAAGTACATATGAACCCACGGTGGATACACTGTTTTTTTTTTCAGGTTTATTTTTCTGCTGAAAACAGCCGTACCGACTGAATGACGGTTAATACCCGACTGGTAAATAATGTCGCAATGAAACCAACCAACCAACCGAGTCAGTCACGATATATCGTGATGTAAACAGTATTTTGTGATAACGTAAATTCAATAAATTGCAACAATGAATGATATTGTGTGATAATGACGGCAGATAGTAAATCATTTTTAAATGATTTCAATTGAAAATGGCATGCAAAAAACACAGAGTGTCTCAAACATTCTCATTGTTTAATTTATCAATTGAGTTTGGTTTAATGATATGCGCCGATTTTGATAAAAAAAATTATTTTTACTTCGAAAAAGCGATAAAGACCTTTGATTTGTGAGACTGTTTGAATACACACCATTACTTTGACTCGAAATTGGTACTTACATTTTTTCACGTCTTTGTTCAGTTCATGGAATTCCGAGTGTACAATAGCTAACATGTATGATAACAAAAACAACCAAACACCGGAGAGGGTAACACACATCCAGATGCTCACATATTTACAATTAAATTTGAAAAAATCGTCAGTCTCTTGGTCATTGAAGCGACTATTTGGCTTGGGCCTGGTTTTCCTGCATAAATACAATGTTGTTTTGAATGATTCATCACGGTAGACGACAGACGACAGACTAAAAATACGGCACGGCCTTGGAATTTTGTGGCTGTGTCGACGATGTGATTACCTACGAACTTTGCGAACTTTCCTCTGGAATACCACTTCAGGCAGCTCTAAATCCGACAACGATTTTAAATCATCCGATAATTGAAGCAATTGAAATGATTCGGCACTGTTACTGTGGCGTTTCTGCATAATGGTTTTTTTTTATTTATTTTTCCTTCATCTACACTTATCTAACTTTGGCTTGACATAAAATCACTCTTATCCAATTTACTGAACCAATTCATGGATTGATTGGCAAATTTACGTTCATCTAGCTTAAACTTTACACATTTGCATAGTATTTTGGTTGAAGAAGGCAATTTTTCTTTTGAAAAGGTATTCTGAAGGCTTTATTGCTCTCAAATCTATTGCTTAAAATTCACTTTGTTTTGCTTAATTCACAAGACACATGAGTATTCTGCTGAAGTTGACAGCACAACTGTCAAATTCCTATGGAAGAAAACTGGCTGCGTACTTGAATGAATGAAATTCAAATATTGTGCGTTCGTGCGTTTATTTTTTGGAATGTAAACAAAAGTGAAATATACATTTATCAATGCTACATCAATAATATTTTAATGCCAAATAAAATAATGTGCAGTTAAATTAATTTGACAAATTCAATTTTGATAGTAAAAATATGTTGGATTAAATAGACAATTGTAGAGTTTTGAGCATAACAGTTGAAAATGCCATAGTCAGCTGTGTATTGTTTGAACAAGAAGAAGATTCCATTTAATAAGCGATTAGATTAGATTAGATTTTGTAGTATGTTGTCCTTCAATATGACTCTGAGGTTATTGTTAAAAATGGATATTTGATTCTGCCAAATTTAGAAGAAATGTCGAGCACAAATTTGCGATTATAATGTATAGCCACTTCTATATGTACATTGTACAGAGTGAACGGAATATGCAATATGGAAAAATGTCTTGAAAAAAAAGTGTCCATTTCTCGAGGAGTATCATCCAAATCTAAGCTACTTTCCATTCCTTCCTTGCTTTATTTGAGCATCTTCTAGAATTTTGGCGACTTGCGTTTTACCTTTGGTAAATATAAGAATAAAATGAAAATGGTATGGAAAGAACCATGTCCCGTTTTGTATGGAGCTTGGGCCATTTTGTACAGAGTTCTAATGCATATCACCTTAAAGGGTATTGTGTGTAGATAAATTATATATAGATACCCAACCCCTAAATTGTGAGGAAAGGGGTTAAAATTGGGAATATGTTGGCAACCCCAAAATAAAGGTATCACTTCCCAGGGCCATAGCTCCCTAACTATGGGAGGTAGGGCAATACTCCTTGGGTCAGAGTTGTAGTACTCATGAATACCTATCCAAAGCTATACATAATATTTCCATTTGTTCATAGTAAATGAAAAGTACCGTTATATGAAAAAATGTTATTTTTTGGGTAAAAAAATCATATT